ATATTTCCTTCTATACTTTTTAGCACGTAGCTATTTATTACTAGCATTGTTCTTCCGACGTCTAATTTCTTTTTAATTATAGGAAATCCGTTTTTTTAAAGTACGTAAACTTTTAGGATTGACTGTATAGCCAATACATCCTTAAATAGTCGAGGCATACGTTCAAAAGGGGTATCTGTTCGATTTGACGTCGACGACGACAAAATTGATTTTGTACATAGAAATACGAACTTCCCTTTTTTTGTTCATTTTCACAGTACATTCATTGAGGTGTTTAGAGATGATGAACACAATAGGTCTCCAATTAAGTCGATGTTCACTGAAAGAGCAACGCTCGGTGATCCGCATGCCAGCCGAGATGTCGATGCGTCTTGGATATTCTCGTAATCATTGCGGTTTATATGATCACTGTGGTCGGGGTATCATTATTCAGTACCGGTGCGTAATATCCTGTTCTATGCACGAACGAGCCTGGAGACAACGCGATCCCTGGGATACTTTAATCAACGCTATATGCGTCGGAGCTGCTCTCGTTCCACGCAGAGAAAACAACACCTCGGTGGATGTTCTTTGCACTCTGCGCAACGACACAGAACGATTTCAATTTCATGCTGCCGGTCGTATTAACCCTCCGCTTGCGGCATGGTAAATCGCTTTTCCTTTGACGATGATAGTATACTTTTCCGTAAGCAAAAACCCAGCCAGCCTTGGTGTGTCGGTACAAATTGACTTTGTTGATTGCAAATTGCACGTTAAAGCCAGAAGATATGATCGTATCGCGCGAGAAACGTCACAACGTAATGTTCTTTAGTTATAAGATGCAACAGGAGGTAAAAACTGAAAGATTTGCAATGATTCTTTTTTTTTATAGATATATATATATACATATATATTGTAGTAGAAGTTAAACGATTTCCTCGCGGTCCCCTTTCCCATCCCTTTGCAGTGGTAACAACCGCACCCTTGACATCAGGAGTTCCCGACTCCTGTTTTCCTCTTCATCTCCTGGGAGCAATAATCGTTGCGGGTCGGAAAAATTCCGCGACAGAAGTTAAACAAAGCCTCGAACGAGGAATAAAATTAAAAAAAAAAAGAAGGGACAGTGTCTGCGAGGAACGAGGAAGAGAATGAAACGCGGAGGTGGGGACATAGGGAGAGAACGTGTTCCTGGTTCGACGGTCATAAGGGTGACCAATTTTCCCCGCACCCTGTGTGCATCCCTCCATTCGACTGTTTGAACAAGGCTCATAATTAATACGCGTATTCGGTTCTGCGAGACCCGCTCGAGGGTATCCGGCCTGGCGACATTTTTTAAATACTCCGCGACGGATATTTGCTCTTCCTCGGTGTCCGAGCGATTTCAGAACATTCACCGTGCTAGCTTCTTCCTCGTCTGACCCGTGTTCAGTACTCCTTCCGATATTCAGTCGTAAAATTTTTATCAGACCGACGTTGAAAGCGGCGAGTGATCATTGAATATTTTACTAGAAATAGTGGCCGATTTTCGTTTGGGAAATTTTTGATTTTCTCGAACTGAATTTCGACTGGTACCTTGTTCGTTTCGCGGAGAATATCTGTCTTTAAGAGCATTATCAGGACGGTGGACGGGTAGGAAGACGGCAAAAACCGTCCGCCCCCTCATGGTAGGTATGTGAAAAATGATGCACAGCCCCAATTCCCCGACACATCTCCACCCCCTGGAAAGCGTCCCGAAGGAAGCGTTCCTCCTCCGCCGTCTTTCTGGTCCACGACCCGGGAAAGACGTGTCACGGACGGAGGTTGCATTATTCGAAACGATTAACTGGCTGACAGTGCTCGGAAAAAATAATACTGAAAATATATTTTTAATGCCCGGGGATTTATCACGCGCGCCGGTGGCTGTTGTCATTTGCGAATGCCAGGCGGGAAAACGATTTGTCGAAAGGAGATCGAAATTTTTTACGGCCGCTACTTCCTGGTTTCGGCGTCGATTCTACGTGAAAAAAATGTTCTTCAATAATTTTTCTAAGTGATTGACAAGAGTTGACATTTTATTTTTGTTTCAGATACGCCGAGGTGTATTCGAAAACGCCGCCCGCCGGTATCCGAAATGCTGTGCTCCTCTGCGAACCGCATAAAGGACTCTTGTACGCACCAAACGTCTACAGCGATCTGTAAGCAATATTTATTATAATTCGTACGAATGATTTTATGATCGATGTCTGGAGAACAGAGAGACGTATTCTTCTCTCATATGCTACACATTTGAATGCCAGTTTCGTAGAAATCAATGTCCTTTCTGTTTCCCCCAAGTTTCTACATTTTTCTTGCATTATAAAGTAAACTCACTTGGCGCTACGTTCTTCCTCTCCCCATCCTCCGAGCTAGCGTGACGTGATAGATACACGAAAATGTCACCGACACGCCCCGGGGCCAACGTGGCAATCTACCCTCTGACCATTATGCTAAACCATTGTCCACTATCTGCTTAAGATAGCCGAGACGGTCTCGTGTTCATCCCTCCTGTCTCCAGACTGTTAAAAAATCATTTCGCTCGTGATCCCGAATCTCCTTGACGATTGAAATGCTTCTACGAGCTTTTTCTTTTTTGGATAAATTATAAGTTGACAGCAGTGGCTCGTAAACGGGAAATAGTATCGAATACGTGTCTCGTCTTTATCGCCTTTTTATCGCTCTTCGGACCAGGATTTCTCTGATTCCCTCCCTTTTTCTCCTGTTCTTCCCGACGCATCTACCATTATTCGAGCGTTAGGCAAATACACGAGGAGAGACGACAAGCTCGTCCACGCGGTTTTTGCCTCGTGAAAATTCAAATGAGACCGCGCAGCATATTGCGCTGAATCGAAATTAATGTCGCGCAACTAATTATCGGTCCAGACTCGAATCAATCCGAGCATGGTTAGCTTCGTAAATGCGCGCCTTTATTGCTCGCCCCGACAGCTCCATATTAATTGCCATTTAATTGCTTTTAATCGTTTAACGACTTTTTAATATCGAATTATTTTTTTTGTACGATGAGATTCTAGCTCTTATTTTCGCTCTTTGTGTCTTCAAAGAATCGCGTCTTTGCGAACGTTCAGGTCTCTGACGTCTCACGTCTTCGCTTTTTGATTCGATTCTTCTCGTCTCCCCTCGCGAAGCTTGTTCGTTCTCACAATTAAATGACACGTTTCGTGACCGAGTATTTCGCGTGATTTTTCCGAGCGTTATCGATCATAGCGACGCGAGATATTCCTGGGTCGGCGCACGAGCTTCAGGAACCGCGCCAGGATCGGGCGAACAATTGCACGGCAAAAAGCTGGAGCCGGTGCGCGGTAAGAAATTTCTAATTTGCGGTATAATTAAGGGAGACGGGGCAAAAAGCATCACGGATTCTACACCGTTGTCGGAAAATCGCGAATTCCACCTTGCGAAATACTACTACGCCCCCGCCTCGATCGCGGTCCGGCTAATTCTGTATGCGTTTCATTACGCCACGATTGTTAAGTAAATAATTGATTGAAGATCGTTTACATATGTTAAGCTTGCAACGATCGAATAAGTAATTACGATAGGTTATTCTTTCCTCTCGATTTTTCTGGTTTTGTTATGAATTAATTAATTCGTATGTTACCATGTTTTTATTATCTGGGAGGGAGAAACTGGTTCATGTTTCAGCATTCGCTTGGTTTCGTCAAAGCTGTATTATAAATGCTTGTAAAATCGTGTTGCAGGTACACCGTGGTAACAGCCGAGGAGTGGGCAAAATTGTTACAGTTTTACGACGTCGATTATCCAATCATCATCAGAAGGAACGATTCCAACCTCGAGACGGATCCAGGTGAGCGAAAACTAATTGAATCGCAATTTTATTTCGAGTAAACAAAATTCATTTTTACAACCGGCGAATGCTACGATGAAAATTCGATGAATAAATAATGGTGTCGCCTTTAATGATTATTATCGCTGTGCGATCATAGTCGTATAAGTTTCCTGGTAGAATGTCGAGATCCGAAGACCGATCGCGCAATTAACGACTTTCTCTTTTGTCCCATCCTCGGATCGTTCGATCTTATCGGTAATTAATTTTCGTACGCGTGGGTCATTATGTAAACGATTGGCCTAGGTGGTTACCAGCGCTTCCCCATGCGGCTCCTTCTTTCTGCTTCCCCTCATAATGCACGGTGGATCTAATTGTCTGTACACAATCTCACACGTCCGTCAATGGTTAGACCCTGCTTGATATTCGAACCGGATCCCTGCACGTATTTAGGATTTATTTGTAGCTTGATTGAGGCAGACATTTCTCTTTAGAAACGATTTTCGCATTCGTGCTTAACCGGATCTCCCGAGCCGGTTGGAATTGATTTGTGACTCAATCGAAACTAATCTAGGAAATTGTAGACAGGCTACTACGGTGAAATTGTAGCGGATTTTATTGCTGTCTGCAGCTATCTTGTTAACAAGTAGCAATGTCCGAATGATTTAATTATGATAGATTTTGAAACGGTTTCTACCGATGTTATATAATACGGTGTATTGTTAGGATCGTGCAAGGATTTTCAATGAGACTGTCCCCCTCTAGGAGGAATATAATGCCAGAAGACATTAGCCGCCGATTTACATAAATACCTCTACCCCCGTTTGTTTCGCTGCCTCGGTTGGCAGACCCCAAAGTGTCTCATTATAATTAAGAAGTATCCTGAAAATTAACCGACAGAAAAACCAGCGCCGCGGGGAGATGAGTAGGTGGTGCCGGTCCAAATGGACTTCTAAAAGTTTCTCGCCCTTGATCCTCGCCAACGTGTGCCGCGTTAGGAACCAGTTTCTTTTATTCGGAGGTTCGTTCATGGACTTTGTAAAAGAATTGGTAAGAAAATATTGCATCGTAAGTCCACGCATTTCGTCGTATCATTCTTCTCGTTAAAAGATGACTCGGTGTCGATCCTATCGCGGTCCCGCGAACAGATTTACGCAGTCGAATCACGGCCACGCGCAAGGCCCACTTTGTCGAACGACTGATCCTTGTCGTTTAAATGGCAGGCAAATTGGGTCCCGGAGGTAGCACCGAGGGGATCTCGCGAACCGATGTTCAACGTCGTTCGTTGCGCTCGAGGTACCGGCATGTCTCTCGCGTTCAAGAGACTCGGAGGCCCTTAAACATCCCATTGTCTTGTCCGTCTCCTGGCCGAGCATAGTCGGGCCTTTTTTTCCAACGACATTTGTCAAGACTCTGCCTCTCCGGGAACCGTCCACGGGCTCATTTGAATTGCAAAGCCCCCGGCGTTTCGTTTCGTAGCCTCTCTCCTGTCTCCGGGACATCCAGCAGCCCGGATTGCGGATCTCCACGATGGAGATGTCGTTTAGGGTTAAAACCGTGATCTTCTTCGCACTCGCGGTCCCACTTGATCTTCACCTCCCATATTTTTCTAAGTACTTATCGTCTATCAAAAATGTTGACAAATATTCCATTACGAACTGACGCAACTGACATGAGATGTGTACATTTCTATCTTCACTGTGAGGATTTTAAGTCATCACCTGCTCGGTGCACGGGATAAGAATTTTACTTGACCTTCTGAGAGCTCGTTAGATTCGTCGATCGTCGGTGATTAACCGGACGAAGTAGAACGAGGAACGTTTCCCTGCCCGGTTTTCTAGTCGCGTCGCGTCATCGTGTTGGTAAGACCGGGATGCCCGGAGGGTGGATTTCAATCGCGTCACCTCCGGTTCTGTCAACCGTGTCCGACGAAGGAGCCGCGCCGAAGACGGGGTTGTCGAGTGATTGATACGAGGTTGGACGGTGCCTAATGTGCCTTCGCGGACGACGGAGAAAGAAACGAGGAAAGACGCGCGATGGAAAGGGAGGACCGGACCACCCTTCGAGGCTTTAAGAGTAGAACGATCGTCCGGCGGAGGCTCGTTAGTCAGGGCCGTATCAGTCACCGAAAGCAACCCCCGATTTTTTGTTCCGCCCCACCGCAAGTGCTTCACTTTTCTCCGGTCAGACGTGTATCCTTAAAACGAGCCAAATCGTCTGTTTGTTCCAACTATATCCGGTCTTCCGATAGAATCCCTTTTAAGGATGACCTCTGTAGTTCGATAATGAAATTGGGAGGTTCGATTAATTACTATTAGTTATGGATTTATCGGAGGGTGCAAAAAAGGAGCGTTCGTCTCCTCGGGAAGGGAGGTCCACCCGTCTAGTCAGCCGTTCGTTTTTAGTCGACCGTTGGCCGCGGCTCGAAATCGATTTCCAGGAACTCGGGGACTTTTCAATGCAATTAAGACCGATCCCGTGCCGCGGCGAGCACGGTGTTTCGATTCCATGAACGACAGTCGTAAATATCGCTTAGGCGCCAGCCGGTGCCACAAATCAGACGCGGATTCACGGATAGGTACAGCACTGGGTTGGTGTGTATCGCGCAAAACCTAGAGAAACCGGGCGGAGGCCCGGTTTCGCTACGACAAAGGGGGCTGCCGGACGACCTACGAGACAGACCGGTCTCGAATTAATATTCGGACAGCGATTTAGATTTAGAACACGAATTTGCTGATTAGTTTCCTGGCAATGCGGTCGGATACCGCGCGCTGCACCACCAGCCCCGGGTTTCTATAAATGCCTGGAGGGGTCGACTCGAGATTTAGCCTCCCGGGGGGTGGTTCAACTTAACCAGGGGTCAAACGCTTCAGGAGGGACATTTGTTAGCAGTCCTCCTCCCACGCTGCGACAAGTGCGCCGGACACGTCTTAATATATGCATTCGCAACTTTACTTCCTCCATAGAACGTCCCAATCGCGGTAGATGTTACGGAAAATTTCGTTCACCCTAAAAACGACGTACTACGCTCGTTATACTTGTTTCCAACCTGACGATTCTCTAGTCTCTCATGCATGAGGCGAACGCACACGCGACATTGGTCGTGGATAATTAAAATGATTCGGTGCAGAAAATAATATCGTAAATTAAAGTGGAAATGGAGAGCAGGTCAAGTTTCAAAGGGTCGAATTAGCGACGTCCCGCCGGTTTCCTGGCTCTCCTTCATCTTGCTCCTTCTCTTATCCTACAGGATATCCCCCCACTTGTCTCCACGCTCCACGGGGGGTTCTTTTCCAACAGGATTAAATGGAGCGGCCTGGATGACCGATGCTCGTCCTCCGGCCACGTTCTCGCGGACGGGATCGAGGGGTGGTTGGAAAACAAGATAAAACGAGGATAAAGCTCACTTAGAACCTTCCTCTCCCTTTTGCTAACTGGACAACGGCCACCGTGACAGCAACGAGCCTCCGCTAATCCAGAAGTCTAATCGTTCAGATCGCTCGGATCCAATCCGCTGTCCCAGTTTGCCTTTCACAGATTTTGATCAAACACAATCTCTCTTTGCCTCGACGGAACCCTCTTTAATCGTACAGTTTAGTTTGGTTCTTCGCATGCTCGTTTAAATTAGCGGGTGCCGCAGTTCTCGTTTAATTAACGCCCCGATCAAGGATCTATTAGGCGACGTTGGGTCTTTCCGATTTTCCTGAAACGGCCGTACTCGTTCCCGAGAGCAGAAAGCTGCGTGTAATTCCCGCTTTTAAGCCCCGATTATACGCGGCAGTACCAGCTCTCTCGTGTAAGAGGATTATGTCTTGACTTTGTTGTGGCGCTCGAAGACGTTCGTTAGCGAAATCGTTACGGCGACGATCTTCTCCTTCTTCGGTAGACATCGTTAGAGCCACCCAAAACGCGAAACCGCGCTCCTTCATATTCCACCGCCAAATTCTTCCCCTAATTTCTCGTCTCTCACTGCATTCACCGATTCTACGCTAAATTTTTTACGTATGAATGCAAAAATTTATTCAAAGGGAACAGGCTGTAAAATAGTTTGTGGATGTTAAATCGTGTTGTTTATGGGACGAGGGAAATCATTATTTATATGCTGGCCGCGCGCGGAGGAACTGAGAGCTTATTCGAGCCGAGGGTGGTTGACTGTTCCTCGTCAAGGGGTCGAGATGCATCAATCTTTCATTCACGCGGCGAATTCGAAGTTGTGAATGAAACTCGTTCTGGACCTTTTAATATAATGTCGCGTCGTGCGTAACGCGTCTTCGATTTTGATGGAAGACCTATCAGATTTTCTCAGAAAATGTTTTATCAATAATTCTAATAATTTTTCTTTCCATCGCCGTATGCCTAATGACCCGTGCGTTTGAAATGAAATAGGAAATCGTCTAAATAGGAATATAGACGTTAGTCGAAGAATGTAAAGAATCTTTACGAAGTGTTTTCTTAGAACGCTTTTATTCCAAATTTTTGAGACATAATTTTCTCAGAAACGCATTTGATTTTGTGGAAGCTCGTCGATCATCCAATTTCACGCAGCAGTACGAACTTCCTGCAATCGTCCCTCGCTAATTCTGTCCTTTCTCTTTTTTTCCCTCCATCGTCTTTGCCTACTGTCTTACTTTCTTATTAAAACGATTCTGTGCCACAGTAGCTCTTCCTGCGGGAAGTCCGACACGGCTGTCCGTGTGTTCTTTTGATTTATCGACCTTAATTAGTCTGGAATTCTATAAAAATTACTGCCCTCGTAGCGTTTCTTTGACTCTTCCCTCAAATTTGCCACGAGCATTTAGGACTGGTCCCTCAAAACTCAGTCAACATTTTGCGTATCAAGTTTTTACACTGTTGGACATTAAGACTCAGGTGTTCATTTACGATCCCCTTTTATTCTCATCTGCTGATCATCCTATAATTGGCTCGTACGTGATTGGCTGACAACGTGATCGAAAATCTGCGCTCTAGTTTGATTAGATCAGTGATTGATTACACATTTTATTGAGGATAATTCAATTCCCTAATTAATCTATCGAACATCCATCTCATCGAGTAAAGGAATACCGATTTCAGGGATAAGAGGAATATTTTTTCAAGTAGGCTTTTCTGGAAAGTTGATCGCGTTATATCCTCGAAATTACGATGAACATTGCTAACTCTAAGAAAAGTTCGATTCGCCGTCCCAGGAGAGATTTCGGCGCGGGACGTTTCCACGCGCGCGATAAAATCCGAAGGAATCGGACATGGAAACTTCCCCGCAGTCAAGTCAAGAGATTCCGCACAAGTTTTTGCCCCCCTTCGACGACCGTTTATAGTTTGACTGCCCTCGGATGGCACTTTAGGGAAATACAGGAGGAGGAAAGCCGCGCAACTGTGTTCGACTCTATTGGCAGCCAGTGGACCCTATTGTGTATTATTAGTCAATAAAACCCACTCGCTGTTTACTCGAGAACGCCCCTGTACAATTTCCAAACCGATTCCTTGTATTCTTCGCTTCAAAACTTGTTCCATTTACCTCTTCTTTATCAGAAATCTGTCATCGCATTCACATTTACTATCTTTCATTATCACATGTTATTCGACATTTGTTCGACATTTTAAAATGTATTTGGTCGATGAGAGGGTCGAAAGACTCGGAAAAGGGGTTCCAGGACGTTCGCTGATTCTTAGTCAGCCCTACACATCCCTGATTAGCTTAGGTTCCTCGTATTTCCGATTAAACTCGATAACAAACGATCCTATCGTGCACGGCTCTGTAATTGGAGGTCCAAGGGTGGACATTTGAATTCACTCGGAGTAGCTCCTATCCCTCCGTAATTCCTGCAAACTGTCTTCCTATAAACTATAATCTACTAATTCTACTTGTTCCCATACGTGATAAATCTCATTTGAAACAAAACTCTTCTCGAAGCGTTTAACAATTTGATTGTTGAGGAAAGTAAAATTGGCCCAGCTCTCGAAGGCGTTCAGGTAGAACAATGCGACGTCAAGAGGTTTGGGTAATTAGGAGGAAGAACGGGCAGAGGGGGTGGTGGACATTCGAATTCATTCGGGGTCAGGGCGTTCCTTCCTCGGTTAAGGGGTTGGTTGGTCTGTACGGCAGCCCCTTTTGCGAGAAACTGTCTGAACATGACGTAACGCTCCTGAAAGCCGCTCGGATAGGAGCCGGCTCGGCTCCGGTTTTTGCGCTGTCCGGCCAGCAACAATGGCCGGTTCTTACGCGGCTCTGGTCACCGTATATTATTAATTACTGTATTAATCTCGCCGACCGTAAGCAATCTATTATACACGGGATAAGAGCCACCGAGAGCCAGGCGTCGTCGTCAAAATACCCGCGCCTCCTCCACCCTTTTGAGCTTCTCCTCCTCTGACTCCTCCATGACTTTGTGACTTCGATGTTCGAGGGCGGCTGTCGATGTAATCTGACCCCTGGTGTTAACAAAGGGTGGTTTGCGAAAGGGTGTTAAAGGAATTTCGAGATTAGCCACGGCGTGATCGCTTCTTTAGTGACTTTAAGGAAACTTTTCGTTTTCACGCACCTTTAATTGAGATATCTATTTTTAGTAATAATTTCGTGTTTTCTATTCCAGGCCTCTGCGGAGCTTGCATGTTGGCCAGAATGGAACAAGAGCGTCTCGAGAGCCTGAAGTACGACAGAGCAACAATTTATATAAAATGTGTGGACGAATCAGAAGACACGAAGACGGATAACGAGTCCGAGGTGAGCGAACTAATATCGATCGTCGATCGATTAAAAAATATGAAACAGAATCGGGGAAACGAGAAGACGAATCAGTCGGAGAACGACGAGGGATTGTTGTTAATGGCAAACGTGCCGAGTCACCATCGAGTGTCTCGGAACCGGTCTACCGGTTCAGATTGATGTCGGTCGATAAGGAGATTGGCCCCATCTCATTCGTTTCACGATAATAATCGTCATTACGTTTCCACGTAAGGGACGACCTTAAAGGCTACCTGCCTTCCCTCGCTTCTCGTCTTTTTGCCCACCCTTTCGAATTACAAAATGATATCGAGCAATTACGATTTCAAAAAGAGTACTCCCGTAGGTATATAATTTGACGATATTCAAATAGATTTTTTGATTCTGTTGCAGCCGACTACGAAGAGGCCGAAACTAGAGAACACGAGGCCGTCGAGGACCAGGCGGAACTTGAAAGGATCGCATGAGCTGAAAGTCTCTTCGAAGATCACCTTGAAAGAGCTTAAATTAATGGTGAGTGCACCTCCGACTTTTAATCATCGTTTTATTCATATTTAATTGGAGGACATATACAAATTCCGTAACGGGTCATTTCTCAATCGATGAGTGCTGACAATACCAGTGATCTTAAAGAAATTTAATAACGTCACTCGCTCATTTTATGACGGTTTCGGGGTTGGTTTCATGGGCACGAACGAGTAGATTCACTCCTAAAATCGAACACCCTGTAAGCAGGTTCTTCGCTGGTTCGTTCGGTAGACGAAAGTAGTAAAGCCGTAGTTATGGCTGGTTAGCATATGCTCGGGTCCCGGCGGTGTGCTTAAACTATTAAGCGTATTTATATTGCGAGGCTGTGGCCATCTCCTTCTTCTTCGCCGAGGCCATCGGCAAAAAGCCGAAAGAGCATAAACCTCGCGCTAATAACAGGCCTCCGACTTCTCCACTCCACTTCACTTCACTTCACTCCACTCCACTTCGCTCCACTCTGCTCCTTTCATACCGTTGTGCTCGCCGTTCAATTCTTTCTACTACTCTCTTTCCTCCTGCCTTCCTCTTTCCATACTGCTATACTTTCATATCATTTTATTGTATGGCGAGAATATTCGAATCTTTCACAGTCTCGAAAGTTCATAGTGTATTTTAATTATTTTTGGAATACATTTAAATGAAGAAAAATCGCGAGATTTTGTTCGCCATCAATGGGCTAACAAATTTTTCATACAAAAGTTTCGTTGCAAAAAACAACTGAGTTTCTCTCGGTTTTACCGCAATAATTGGCAGTCGGCAGTAGTAAAACTTTTAAATTTAAACCGGCAGCGCATCTCCCTTCTCGAATCGTTTTCCCGACCACGAGGTGATCGATGGTTCGTCGAGATTAGACGGTGATACCGGTTCGAAAAGTGGCAAAGGGTGCCGGTGGCTGATTTGTTCGCAAAAATGATAGTCGTCCGGTTTTTACTCGCCGGCAAAAATGCGCAAATTTCATGGTCGAATGCGGGCAAGTCGCGAGCAAGCAAGCAAATCGGAACAATGACTAGTGAGCTTCGTGAGCCGATCGTTCATTCGTAATCACCGTAAATATTACTTTCTATCACATTCCGTGTCACCAGTCTCGGCGCCTTTTTTCCTCTCAAACCACTCTTGCCGATGTTTGAGTAATATCATTGAAAACTGATACAAAATAGCGGTAAAAGTCGATCTTTCATTAATTGCGGGGAACTCGAAGTGAACAATTTCGGGCTCGTTTTAAACTCGGTAAATCGATGATTCATCGATGGGTGCATCGGAACTAATTTTTGGAATTCAGGTTAAAATCAATTTTACGGGGAGACATTCTTGCCGCGTCACCGTGAGCTCGATCAGGCCAAGAACTTTCTTACATTGGTATAAGCTATCATCTCTCTGAACCATCGACGTCACAAAACACTCTTTCCCAAATATTATAAATAAGACATCGAAAAATCGGAAGTTCTATCTTTCCACGTTTCGCGTTTTACATTCACCCATTCTCTTTCCTGCGTTCTCCCTGACTCTTTCGTTCGCTCGTAAAACAGAAACTGGTGTATACACACCTCAGTACGGAGGCTGCCTACGAACGAAGGGTAAACCGTTTCTCGAACACTGCTTCCACAAATTAAGCAATTACTCGGACGTACACTCCTTCACGGTACCAACTTTAAATCGCGGTCCCTCGGTTTCTTTTTCATTTAAAAATTTTTTTTCGTTCACAGAACGTGTCGTTTTTACGATTGACAGTAAAAAATTGTGCTGGCATACTTTTAGAATAAGAGAAGTCTGGTATACTCTGCCACATGGTGGATCGATAAGAAATATCGCGTCTGTTCGGTTGTTTCTAAACGACACGGTTAGAACGTTGCTACCAAAAACGATAGAAGGTAGCGTGAGTTTTTATTCGGGAAGATTGTGTTAAGGAATTTGCTCGTTCTGCTTTCTAGACGATGCCGATTTGCGGGGCAGGACCCTACGACCAACATCTGATGCTCGGTGAACACGAACTCACCGATCACAATCAGAGTCTCGCGGCGCTTGGTATATTCCCTGGGACGCTGCTCACATTAAAGGTGAGTCTACACATGATCACTCAAAGGGTTAATAATATAAAAAATGATTCAACGGTGTCGAAGAACACGTGTCGTTGAACTCTGAAAATATGAGATTGCAACGGACGTGAGAGATTTTGGAATCATTTTGATTTTTAATCCACACATGTTTAACGTAATTATGGGTAATTACTTTGGCAAAGGCCGTGTGCTTTCATTAATAAGGCATGTCATAAGCCCGTCTCTTTCCGTTATTCTTGGCATCGCATTCCGCGCGTGGAAGCATCCGAACAAGACGCCTCAGGATTGTTCGGAAGGTTCGGTCGCTCGATAAACGTGTTTCGTTCGCAAGAAGGTCGACCAAGAAACCGAAATGCGATCAAGTATTTCCTGTATTTGATTAACAGCGAGTCTTCTTTTTACATACGACGCTTAATTGACGGATTCCTCTTAGAGATTTTACTAAATACTTCAGTCAGTGTTTTCTTATAATTCCGATATCCCTTTGCGTCGCGTTAATTGTTGCTAGAACGATGCGTTCGTTGCTGGTGCGGGGACAGTGACAAACAGATGCAATTTAGATTTAAGATCTAGCCACCGTTTCTCTTAAGCCTTAGACAATGGATAAGTAACGCCAGCAATGGTCCAAGATAACGGGAGCACCGCCGATTTTGTCTTGGGATTAGCGGAGAACGCCGCCGCCCGAGATTAGAAGTGTTAATTGGCCTCTTACTATAGAACGGAAGATTTCCTCTAGAGATCCCCCCCTTGAAAAATCTTTATTGTCTGATTAAAAAAAATTTGTATCTTCTAACGATGTCAGTAATGTTGGGCAGCTTGAACGCAGAATTCTCGAAGATCAAAACGAGTTAGTTGTTGTTAAAAAAAATTGATAGGCAAGATCGAGATTCGTCAGGGAGGGAATGCGCTCGAGAGACGTGGGACACCATATGTCCCTTTGAGCATTCGCGACGAACCTTCAGCTGGTATATGTATATACCTACGTATGCCAGTTTGCGCGGGCCACGAGGATCGAAGATTCAGCCAAAAATTCAGCGGACGTGCCCGGGTTTTTGCCTTGGCCGGCGTCGCCGGCGTGCCGCTCGACGAGAAGAAAAATTCTGCCCGTTCGTTTGGGACGCGAGACCGCCGGAATAATTTCTGCATTCCTCGGCATTCTTTCGTTCACGGTTCACTGATTTTATGAAACCAGCTCTCGCTGGTCCGCGTTAACATTCTATGGAATCAAAACGAAAAACCATACGGCTAAATTCGTTCGTTCTCGGATCACACTTGCACGTTACGATCCTTAGATTAAATGGTAGCCTCCGTCAGGATGCCTAAGTTTGTATGTAACATGACTTTTCTTGTAGGTAACAGCAGTACCTACAACTTTTACTTGAAATACTTTTTGAAATTTCTGAGAAAAACGAAATTTTAATTTTTCCGACATTTTGTTACCCCATCAAATTTTGCGAAATGTTCATTTATTGCAACCAGAAGATAAGGTTTGCTGTTTCGACGGAGGAACGACCGGATTTTATCAATACTAATAAAATGCCGATTAATCATTCTTAACTCGTTAAATACTGGAGTTAGAAGAAAAATGCATAGAATCTTTCTTGTAGAGTACGTCGATACCTACAATTTTTATTTGAAGCATTTTTCGAAATTATGAGATTTAGTCATGCGCATAAGTCAATTATTATTAGTACACTTTCTGACAGTGTGGACCTACTGTTCTTTCTTATACTGTGGTATTGATTTGGCTAAGGGGCGTGTTGAAAGTCTCTTCGTTTGTGGCAAAAAGCAAAAAAGCCAGTTTCCGAGAAGTCAGCGCCCAATGGACCGTTTAAAATCCCGGAAGCCGAGTATTTGATCGAAAAAGCCCGTGTATTATTTAGTCCGGTTTAAGTTTGTACTTTAGCCATGGGCACAAGCCTGTTTTTCGTTCTACACCGTGAAAACTATGTTAGAAAGGCAAAAATAGTTAGGGGGAGGAAAAATAGCGAGGAATCCGTGTAAGAGTAATCTGCGGTGAGGATTTTTTTAAGATCCGTCGTCACGGTAACCTGATCGATAAATTTCTGTCCTCCCTCTTTCTCTCAGACTCAATTCAATTTATTTCACCGCGGCCGCCTGTCTATTCTCCAAATTCTGAAAAAAGGACAATTATGCTCGCAAGAATTTCGTTGAAAACTGTAATGGAAAAAGTTGGTAAATTTTCCGAGGATGACTATAATTATAGTCGGTCCTCTCAACAGTGCTAAATCCTTTTAAGGAACGACTAGCTACTTTTAACGGTCGCAACGCAATGCAATGCCGGCTCGTAACGAGGCTAAAAAATCCGTAGCCAAGATAATTGTTCACAGTTATGCGGATAACCACTGGGCCAATCCGTTGTTGGCAAGAAGCTCATCCGCAAAGGCGGCTGATAGTTTCGCGAAATCTTCGATCGTAAAATCTGTGTGACTCTGTCGTATGCAATTCAGTTAGTTAGGCGGAAATTACTATCCTGCTCGTGGAATTAGAAAATTCTGAAGCAAAGAGGACATAGAGAAATCTAATGTCAACAAGACACGGTGCCGATTTCGAAGGAGATTTTGTAAAACGCCCTGGGCAAGGTCCTTCGAAGAGGAACTCTTAAAAATGATTCTAATCGATGTTCGCCTCCGGGCAGCAGGCAAGCTGGCTATTGGAATAGTTGCCAGTGCATCGTATATTGAACGATCAACGACGGTAGCGTGGCCGCGGCAGCTACCGGTTCAGAATCCTGGAACATACAGTGACTGGGATGACTTGGCAGCGGAATCAGCCGCGGAACGTCTTTCGATACATTAAATATCGCCCCGTCATCGTTCGTGCAATAATTCAAGGTCGCGATTACAAAGTCAATACACGTTACCACCTATCTGCATCTCGATTTATCTTTTTTCTCCTCGTTCGCCTTTTTTTCGATTCGATTTTGTCTACTACGATCGGAATTGGATAGACCTCTCCTTTGTACTTAGTCTCGTTTTATATATCACTTCCCTTCACTTTTTTCTCTGTAGTTTCTTCAAACTTTTACTGAGATTCATCTGTTTCTGCTATTGAGATCGCAGTCAGTGCAGTGCATCACTCGAAATTACTTTCTTCATTGATCGTCAGACGTGAACAGGCATAAATTTCTCAGTTCGTTTCTGAGCAGGCGAAGTTCCGTTGGCTGGGTCAAAGAAAATGCTTAATTTTCTGGGCACAGAACGGATTAAGATTTCTCGCACCTACGCCGGAGCATGCGAGAAATTAATCGAGCGGGGAGGGAGACAGGGAAGATCTAACAAGGAGAGCAACAGAGTTGCTTACAAAGACCGCTCGGTCGTTTCCTCCTTCCACTCATTTTTCCCGATTTTTTTGCGATTCCTCCTCACTGTGTACCCTCTCTTCGTTGCTGATCGACCGGAGTCTTTAGAAACGGTCGGTCGAGTCTCCAACGGGCGGCAGCCGCGTTTGATGTCGTGTGACGAATGTCCGCGTTGGACGCGCTCCTTTCTCTCTCTCCCGTTCCCTCCTTCTTCTTTTATAACGGACATTACATTTCTCTCTCCTTTCCGTACGTTTCACCCTTCCCCTCGTTCGAGTTTCGTAGGATTCCTCCCTTTCGTTCTTCCACGGCTGCTCTGATTCATCATTTGATTCGATTTACGCAGCTGAACGATCATTACAAAAATTAATACACTTTCTCACTCCGAGATTCGTCAAAGGAGAGACGAAATAGAGGCGCCATGGCTTATCGGGTCGATCGGCAGAAAACTGGTGGCAATTACGAGACCGAATCGCGGTTAAACGGGCCGACTAATTACAATGTTCGATCTAAGTCAAAATCATTCTAATTATAACGCCCGTGAAAATTGAGCCATTATTAATCGGCCACTTTTCGTTACCGCTAAATCGACATTGTAGCCGGGCTGCGGGTTTCCTTTTCTTTTTCCTTCATCGGTCGAAAGACCGGTAGCCGGAGATCAGTAGCGGGAACACTGTAATTATTATCCTTAATTGTCGAGCCTTCCGAGGATAAGATCGAAGAAAGGGTTCCGAAGGAGAAAGAGACCCTCCGAGGCTGCTGATCGTCCTGTCTGACATGGGCCCCCCCTCTCTCCTTCTTTCTCTCACGGCCAATCAGCGACCCCGGTACCTTGACTTCTAGACTCTTTCAGAAATAAATCAATTAAGCCGATGCAGGTTTAAAAGGCATCGTCATCATCATCGAGTTCAGCTTCTGAGCGCGTTGAACAGAGAGATGAGGGACATTCCTCTTTCTCGGTGCGCTTAAGAGGCGCATCGGTTATGTTCCGATATCGCGTCAGCGATCTTCTGAGCGCGGAGAAAAATTGCGAGCAAGAATTTTATAATACGAGTTATTTGATGGCTTAATAACGATTCGACGAGATAAGATGAAAGTTGCGCGCTGGTACACCTTTCAAGCCGAGGGAATTGTCAATAATAACTATGTCTCGCGTGGTTATTATAGATCCTCGCTAATGACGCGCGTATCAATAGATTAGAAGGAAAAGACGTGAGATCTTCCTAATATAATGGTTCGAGGCGCTTTTGAGTCGGGAGGCAGACTGACATGGTCAGTGCTTACTTTACGAAGTAGTTCGTATTTAATTCAAAAATTATTTGCTACACTGACCTGCGGTCGTAAGTTCGTCGAAATGGTTGGAATAACAGGAGAATGAAACTAATATTCACACCCCTGGAGTCTTACGAGGGTATGGCCCTTTGGAAATTCGGTTCACCATGAATTTTTCGATCGGCCAATTCCCAGCTGCGGCCAATATGAGATTCGTCCCCGGCATACGAGATTTTTTCCTCGCACCCCCTGGCCCTGTTTTTTTTTGCTGCCGGCTCGTTCCGGACGTTCGCGATTCTCGCCTTTCCAGCCTAAGTTAATATTAATGGGGATATTTATGGGCGTGGGTCAACGCTGGTCACCGCCAGAATACCACTGATAAAAGAAAATCTGAAAATGCCATGAT